GTAAACTTTATTCTCTTGTCTGTAGAGCCATGCTGCTTGTTATTTGGGGAAAATATACTCCTGTGTGCATGTGCGCACGCATACAGATACTGCTGTGGGTTTTTTTCCCCTGCTGCGTGAAAACATTAACAAGAGGTTGTGTTGTGCTAGTTTATGTTAAACCAGATCACCCTTGAAACATGTGTACAGCCATTCATCTGTGTCACCAAAACCCAAGAGAACAGCTGACATCGACTCTGAAACTGAAACAGTGATCGCTTACAAATCAAACATGGCACGCTCTAAAACGATTGTGCACGGCAATCTTTTTCTAGAAAGGGCAACTAATTGAACATGATAAAGTGTAAAGTTAATTAACACCCTTAAATTTGTTGATTACTTTTCACAGGATTATATTGTTCTTTTGAGTAGCAGCTTTCTGTCCCAGCTGTCGCCTTTTTAGCATGAATGTCGCTGGTAAACAATAGAGACACCATAACAAGTCGTAAATGGTCCCTGTGGCAGCCGACCCTTGTGGGGCTGCATCTGTAGAAAATGATTAAAACAATTGCACTTTAAAGACAGTTCACATAGCAGCCTGGTCCACTTGGCCCTCCTCTTCATCTCATTTGATGGCAGGCTGGTTAAAACATTAAAGTGCATTTTAGTAAATTAAATGATTTACTGGTTTCAGTGGAGTATCCTTAAATGTATTTTGTAGGGGCTGTTCTTTTGAAACCTGTCCATTTTAGATGTGAAGTCTCTTCACATGCTTGGTTCTATCTAAGTGAAATAAAAGTAATCATTGCATGTCACAACTAACTAGTTTCTAAATTAGAATTTAACCTACGGCACTCTATATCAGAATTCCTTGATCATAAGACTAGTAAATATCTTTTTTCTTTTATTAATATGAAAAAAAATCTTTGTGACATTAAAATCACACAAGTACAGTCTTGTGGAAAAGAAAATCTAACAGTCAAGCTGCAGTTGCTCTAAAAGTCTCCAATGCAGCATATTTTTTTCTTGCACTTTCACAGACAGCAATGACGGCATTTCCTCACTAAAGATGTAAAGTCACTGAGGATTAGAATGTTGGCTTCCTTTTCTTTAAGTTCCTGGTTTCAACATCCTAGTGATATAGTATGTTTGTAACAAGAGATTTGCAAAAAGGTCGTGACTGCTACTTCTTGGTTCTAGGAGAACAGTTAAGATAGAACTTTATATAGCTCTTTTCCCAGGTAGTATTCAAAATACAGTACAAAGAACTGGAAATGTTGGCAAAATTCTCTATTTCCAGATGATAATGACAGTACAAAGAAGTCATTTTCATAAGCCCCTTACCTCTAATCTGGCTCACAGTAGAGTAACAAACAGCATCTTTAGAGGAGAGTTACACACACTTGTCTCCTTAGCGTGGTTTTACTGCTTTTCCTATGACATGAATGAAGGAAAGGGGAAGATAGTAAGATGGAGCAACAGTTTTCCAAGTCAGCTCAGAAAAGTTTTCAACATTTTCTGATTTCCCATCACTACTCAAATTTCTGGGCTGATTTTTAGAAGGAATCTCAGAAAGCTTACATGTTTTCCCAAACTAGAAATCACCAAATTCAGAATACAAATGCAAAAATAGGTGATACCTTTATAGACCACTAAAAATAATCATACAATACACAAGCTGTCTAAACAGTACTTGAATATGTTTGCTTTGCTTATAAAATGGAATTACTGTGGAAAGGGAAACTCGCTTATATTGGGTAAGGTATGAGATTGATGTGGGATGGGTTTTCTCTTCTGTAGGATGGGGGTTTCCTGGATTTGACGCTATGAAGGTCTGTTTACTCGAGATACCTTCTTTCACCTTTAGCTGATTCACCAGCTACGCTCCTATCTGGAGAAAGCAGGACTTAGTACAGACTTCCATGGATCATATCCAGATTAGACTGCAATATATTTTTGTAACTGTGACTGCCTTTGAAGATAGTTTGGAAATTGTAGCTGATACCCAACAACTAGTGGGATCTGGGTAATTAGAACACTTAACATTGATTCTGGACCAGCTGCATTAGTTGCCACTGCATTTCTGGGCATAACACAAAATGCTGGTTATTACGGTATTCTTTCATTTACAAGACGACCCAAAGTATAAGAACCCCCTTTTTCTAACCCCCAAATTAGAAAAGTATTCTTTCATTTACAAGATGACCCAAAGTATGAGAACCCCCCCTTTTCTAACCCCCAAATTAGAAAATCTTCACGCTTGCACCCCTTTGATCGTACTGCCCCTTCCCGGCTGCATTTCCCACTTCCTAAGCCTCACGCTCGCACCCCTTTGATCGTATTGCCCCTTCCCGGCTGCATTTTCGCTTCCTAAGCCCTGCGGAGCTTAGGAAATGGGTAATGCAGCCATGAAAGAGAAGCGCACTCGTGCCCCTTTGATCCTGACGCCCTTTCATGGCTGCTTTACTCTGTGGCTTCGCAAAAGGCAAGGAAAGTGGCTGCCTGCCATGTATAAAACGACCCTTAATTTTTGTTCTAATTATTTAAGTAAAAAGTCTCATTTTATACATGGAAAAATATGGTAACTTTCAAGTCCTAAGTGGCTTGAGACCATGTTTTTCAAAAGACTTCCTACATAAACCAACTCAAGTCACAAAAATAGGTCTCCAGTGTTCACTTGTGATATTTGTTTGATTAGTGGGCACAAAGGATAGGGCCTTTTCTTTCCAGAGCTCTTCATTCTGAAATGACTTTGGTTTTTCGTAACTGTATATTTTTCCTCAACTTGAAATAAAAGTATCTCCATGAGAGTGTCCAATCAAAAGACTACTGTCACCATTCATTTTGCTCTGATTGATGCTCTGGACCTGTTTAACCAACTGTAATGTAATGCAGTGTTACTGACTTTGGATGGATAACCCTGAGACATTTAACATTTGTTGGCCATGAGATAAGTAGTAAAAATATTCCTGCTCTGTATATATAAAAAACAAACTATGTGAGATGGAAACCTCCCAAATGCTATTTAGGAAGGGCTGGTCTTGGCTGTGTAAAGGTATGAAGAGAACTCCTGAAACAATATTTTGGTAATGAAGGTTCAAGTACCAATGGGTCACTATGGATCGATGTCTCTCTTGAAGGTTTCTTTTGAGAAATGTGCACGTATCCTTTTTTAGCAATGAATTTTAATTTATAAAGTATAATTTGGTGCCATGGGCTTTCCATTTCACCCACTTTTGCTACTGGTTTGCAAATGCAATACTGTTTTGAATTCCCCTCTAATTATGATATTTTTATAAGATACCTTAATGGGTTGTTCATCATTATATCTGATCTGATGGCAGCTGTCTGTTTTACATGTTTTAAGGATATCATTGCCCTCCCTACATCTTATATGTAATAATTTAAATGTTATCATGGACTACTGCTTCCACAGTCATGCAGCCAACATGACTTACAAAAGTAATTTTTCCAAAATCTAGTAATTAAGGTGACAAAACTCATATTGGTGTCAGTTTTAGATCAGTAAAGCTAAAACTGTAATCCTTGAGAGGAAGGGTTATTTAATTTAGTTGGATGTACCACTACATAATGGTGCATAGGATTTGAATTTATGTATAAATCTTTCATTCCAGATTACCCAGAGATGGATAAAAAGATAATGGCATTGCACATGAACTCCTTATTTATATAAAAAAATTGAATATATTCAGTTAAAAAAGCAGGCCATTATTTATGACTGTCTCTTCCAATAAGGACTGGATTTGATGCATGACTCAGATTTGTTTGTATTTTTAACTTCTTAAGTGTATTGCACAAGAGATCATTTCAACCTGACAACCAGAAACTCTAAAATTAGTAGGTGCTTTTAAAAAAAAAACTGTATCAACTGTTTTCCATCTGAAATGTGTGTTTTAAAAAAAATTGAAACAAAGTTATAACTCTTGATAATTTTGAATATGGGAAAACAGTAGCTGAAGAAGTATGAGATTTTTATTTTCTGCAGCTTTTTTTAAATATTGTCTTTCTGATTCAGTTGATTGCTCGTAGCAGTAATGCATAAATTAGTAACAACCCTGTGTTGAATAACTTCAAGGCTGCAGTCCAGTGCCCATGTCTATGTGAGTTAGTCCCACTGCACTTGTAAGATTTACATCTGAGAAAACATACATATTATTGGCCTTTACAATTTAAGCCATCCCAGGGATGTTCCAAATAGAGCATTTGTAGCCTTCTAAGTTTCCTGTTTAGCATGGATCGTAAAGGAACTTCCGCTCATCTAGACAACACTTCCCTTATCTTGCTTTGTAATGCTAATTTTTCTTGCTGTCCCAGGCCTTTTATTTTTAGTACTGCTTCATATTGGGAGGGAAGGCATTGGTATGATGTCATTTCCTAGTAGATTTAGTACTAATACATCAGCCAACAAATCAATGAGGATGAACACGACAATTAGCGGGAAGAAAAGAGAGAAGGATCATAACACATTTCTGATTCCTTCTATCTCTCCATAGGTGAACCCACAGGTAATGCCTAGCAAGGATAAAAAATGTAGAAGTCCACTACTAAGGTTACGCAATAACAGAGACCGTGTAAAATGTGGCCACTGCTCAACTGGAGAGGGATTGCTGTATGCAGTAGGACTGTTTTTGTCATAAGCTAGAGCTCCCAGAGGATTACTACTTGCTGCTTTCTTGATGGGTCAGGAACCGGGCAGCTTTATTGCAACCTTTGTAATCATCTATACCTTACTATGTTACTGTTACTACGGTTGTCACCATTGTGAGAACAGGAATCCTACTAGATCCCAGAATCATTTGGGAATTCCAGCTCATGTACCAGTTTCTTACCATTATTAGCACAATGGATTCTGAAAGGCATGGTTGTAACTTAGCCACCAGTAGGGTGAGCTGAAAAGTCTTAAAGGTGTCGCAAGTCTTTTTTTTTGCTTGTTTGTTTTTGTTATACATGCTGAAACAAACTAAAACAATTGCCTCTTTTGCCATTTTTTTAAACTTCAGGTGTTGGAGCTGCTCGTGCAGGAAACCTTACCTTTATGGTTGGAGGAGTAGAACAAGAATTTGACGCTGCAAAGGAACTGCTAACATGTATGGGTTCTAATGTGGTCTATTGTGGAGAAGTTGGGACTGGACAGGTAAACTTTGGGTCACTCCTAAATTTTTGTCTCTCTTTGTTTCCTTTCTAACTTGAGTCCTTTCTTTAATAAAATGTAGGTGGGTTCTCCTCTCTCCCCAGCCTAAGTTTCACATCCAGATTTGGACTTACACTGGTTATTAATTGTACCCCCACTGCATGCCGTCACTTCTCAGATTAATCTACTGGACCTTTTTTTCTTGCTGTCCTGGAGTTCCTAGGGGAAGCTCAAATGGGACCAGTTTGTGATCAGAGTTGTATTTCCTCCCATTCTTGTTGTGACTTAATTTTGTGTGTGTGTAGAATAATTGGCCTTAATTGTTCTTAGTCTGCATGTCACTTGGGATTTATTATAAAAGGTAATGTAAGTCTTTTAAATAGCCAACAAAAATAGAGAGACCCAGAGCACTTCATAGGTCAGAGGAATATGTTACTGGGCTGCAACTCACATTGACACTATCCACTATAGCAAGTGGTGAAGGATGATGAGAGTTGTAGTTCAGCAACATCTAGAAGGCCATGTGTCTGTCACAATATCACAATGCTTCTGCCATAGGCATAAGTTCTAGAAGGCCATGTGTCTGTCACAGATTGACCAGCACATATCACAATGCTTCTGCCATAGGCATAAGCAGTTCCTGTGTTCCTGTGGTTAGAAAACTGAGGTGAAAAGGAAGATACAGTAAATCAAATTTCTAAAGTGAGAAGTATTTAAAATATCTATCCTGATAGACAATATTAAATGTGTATATGTGCCTGTGGCTTCTATGGTCCATTTCTAAGCATCTGATAAAATGGGCTCATGTCTGTCAACCCTCAAGAAATAACTGACTGTGCAGATGTTCTAACAAACAGCTCTGTTTGTTGGCCAGATTATCCATCAAGGCCTATATGTATTTACTGGTACTGCAACACTTTCCCTCCAGGCACACATTCCTTCAAAGTTCCATGCCCGATCAATCAGACTCTATCTTCCAATGACCAATCACCCCTTCCCCCCCCCAAAGCAAGCTAATTTGCACCGTGTGAGGTGAGGAATGTTTGTGCTTTGCAAATCGGATATACTTTACCTTTTAAGAGGGATCTCAGCTTTGAATGACCTAACTGTATCACCAACTTTGCCTGGATAGCTCAAGGTATCTGATTGCAGAGACAGACATCGGTAAACCACTTCCCAGTCCTCTGTATCTGGAAAATCCTGGATAGGGTCACCAAAAGTGAGAATTGACTTGATGGCGCACAATTATTATTAATATTATTATTATATCATCTGGCCTTCTTTTGCTGGCTCAGCCTAATGCTACACTTGGGCTGTGTTATTACTCTGCTAGATAACTGACAAGTAGTATCATTAACAAATAGCTAGTAATTGTAGTCTTTCTAAATAGCTTCTAAAAGTGCAAAAGTAAATTTCTTTTAATGTCAGGAATGCACCAGAACTGGAGTTCTGTACCAACTTCACAAAAAGTGACCCTTCTTGAACTCAGCGTACAGTAACTTGTTCTGAAAAGACACATTGATATGCAGATACTAGAAATATCTTTCCCTGTTTTATTTCACCAGCCATTAAAAGTTGTTATTGTTGACTCTAGAGCCGTGGAACAAATGTATTCATTTCCTGGATAGCTATCTGGGTAACAGAGGAGTTCATGCAATATTGAACTTATTTTCAGGCTGCAAAAATCTGCAACAACATGCTATTAGCTATCAGTATGATTGGAACTGCTGAGACCATGAATCTTGGAATCAGGTATGTTGCATATTATGATCTCCTTTCTATGTTGGTTGCCTTTATGTTTTTCTGACTAACTCTTTTGTGGAGAGTGAATGAAGTTACTAGAATGTAGATTAACAATTGCATTATTACAATGTTTTTCACAAAATTGTTTTGTTAATCTTGGATAGGATTCTGGGAAGCAGAGACTCTCTTTGTTAGGCCATAAAAGTATAACCAGGATTTCTGTATAGGGACTTCTTTTGTTGTTTCCAGATGAAACATGTAAAGGAGGAAATATAGGTAAAGGCATATATGTGATAAACCCATTTTTGTACCACATGGGCTAGAAAATTGAGATTTACCAAGCATCCTTTTAAGGCTAAAGTATGTATCTGACATGTTCTATACAAAATTGAGTCACAAGCTTGAACAGTGAGAAAAATACTATCCAAACCCATGTAAGTCACTATGGTAAGAATTTGAATGGGAGGGATTAGTTACTCTGCTTTATAGTTTTGTTACCATTTTAAGTATTTCTGGACAAGGTTAGCTAAGTTATTTACAGTTGTTTGTTCAAGCTTTTCTGTACTTATTTGCTCTCTATAGTCAATAATTTCAATTAATATTGCAATATGTTAACCATTTTGATCTTGCTTACTTGCTTTGACTGTAGACCTAGCAGTAATTGTAACCACACTGTCTATAAACATAAATACATGTGGACCCTAATTCTAAAAAAAGTTAATCTGCTTTACATTTTAAAAAGAAAAAGAGAAACATATAAATATACCTCTGTATATACATGTAAAATATATAGGTTAACACATGTACACACATGCACCCAAAAGGCAGGATAATGGATTCACATTTCCTCTTAATTACCATATCAAGATGCAGTTGTTTTATTGAATTGCCCTTGTCTCAGATGTTAGACTATCTTGACCTATTAAGTTGTCATGTTGTAATTGAGATAAAAGAGGAATTTGCTTTGCATCAGTGCTAATTGGTTTATCAATATCCTGTTCCATTTACATTTTAAAATTGAGCATCTGTAAAATAGGGAAGCATATCTTTAACAAGCCGTAATAAAACCCATAAGGTGGAATACTACTGTTGTAATTGAGGATTGTAAAGCTGTATCATAGTCAGCTCTAAGTCATGGTTTGCTTAATGAAAAATCAATCACCTATGACTTCATTGTATTTAGTTCAAGTTGAAACTCACGTTTTCTGTTATTAAAAAAATATTCAGCTGGCTTGGAGCACTGAAAGATCTCATGCTATAATGGTATGCAACCCTAATTGGGGTTTGCAGTCACTGTAGCATGCAAATATATCTGTGCTTTCATATTCCAGGTTAATGTGTATGTGTGCAGAGAGGGGATCCACTGAGATGTTGGGGTGAATTTGGATTCTGTTACAGTTCTGATTGGTCTGATTAGTATCAGGAGGTGTATCCTCTGTGGAATTCAACCAAAAGCTCTAGTATTGCAGTTTTGTTTGCAATCTAAATTATTCACCTCTTCCAAACTTCTTATTATTATTACAAAGAGAACAGAGTGCTAGCTCATTCTGTTGGGAGTGCTAGCTCACTGCATGGGGAATGAGTCAATAAACCAAGAACATTCCATCCATCATGTCCACACATGGTGTATTAAATTATGCATGGTATGGAGAAAGTTGATAGATTTATTTTTCCTTCCCCCTTCTCTTTCTTCTAACTCTAGAACCTGAGGCCATCCACTAAAGTGGGGTGGGGAGAGGTATAGGACAGATACAAAGAATCATTCTTGACACATTTCATAATTAAACTGTGAAACTCACTGGTACAATGTATAATGATGGTTGCCAATATGGGGGATTTATGTTGGTTAGGATAATCAATGGCTCTTAGTCATGATCAGTGTTCCTTCTAATCTGCATGGGTGTGCGCTGCAGTATCAGGTGCGTACAGCCAAGCGAGTGTTTCTGCACATTTGCTTCTGTTTGCGGCTAGAACTCTGCACACAAGGGCAGAGCCTCCACGCAGAGCTCTGGAGAATTAGAGGGAATGTTGGTTAGCTGTATAGTAGCTTTATATTTATGTTGATGTTGTTTTGGTATGGTGATTGTATGTTGTAATTTTGATTTTGATTTTTTTAATTTTATTTCTATATAACCATTATGTTTTATATTTTGTAAAGTGTTATTATTTTACAGTGGTGCCTCGCTTGACGAGGATAATCTGTTCCAGCAAAATCGCTGTAGAACAAAATCGTCGTCAAGTGAAAGTAAAAAATCCATTGAAATGCATTGAAAACCGGTTCAATGTGTTCCAATGGGTGAAATACCTCAGTGTCCAGCGAAGATCTTCCATAGGGCGGCCATTTTCCAGTGCCTGTATAGCAAGGAATCTGTCCTAAAACACAGCTGGGAGCCATTTTACACAGCAGGCGGCCATTTTGAAACCCCAACGATCAGCTGTTTTGATCGTCGTTAAGCGAAAAATCGGTTCCCGAAGCAGGGAACCGATCGTCTTTAAACGAAAAAACCCCATACAAACATTGCTTTGCGGTCGTTATAGCGATTGCAAAATACTCATATTAAGCAGTTTCCTCATCTAATGGGGTAATCGTCAAGAGGGGCACCATGGTACTGTGTTGTAAACTGCCCAGAGTGGACTTGTAGCCTGATGGGCAGAATAGAAGTAGGATGGATGGATGGATGGATGGATGGATGGATGGATGGAGAAGTAGAGTGAATGAATGAATGAATGAATGAATGAATGAATGAATGAATGAATGAATGAATGAATGAATATCGGAATATGATTGCACTTAGGAAATGGTGGTGGGCATTTTCTCAGTGCAGTCACAGAATATAATGGACAATTGGTCTGATCCCACTGAGATCTTTTTATTTTATTTTAATTTGATTTATTTGATTTATATACCCCCCCAACTGGCAGCCAAGACCACTCTGGGCAGTTTTTTTATGTTTAATGTGAACTAGCAATCTGTCTTAACTCTCCCTTGACAAGTGGAACCAAAAACAAAACTCTGGCTAGTTCCTCTTGCCAGAAGAGAGACAAGTGAGAACACAAGTTCCGGTGTCAACTGAGGAGATAGCTCTACTTCTTATAATCAATGTGTCACCTAAGCTATAATAGGATTTGCTATTTCTCTCTGTGAAGTGCTTTAATAAAACTCATTCTGGTGTTGCTTTGTTCATCATCACTAGAAGAGAAAAATTAGTTGTTTCTGATCTAGCCCAAAGGATGTTTTCACCCATTTACCGATACCTAGACTTAATAACTGGCCGTGCCCTCTTCTAAAACTGTTACATTGCTATTGTTTTCTTATATGCTCCTTTACTGCTGTGATTAACAGCAAGACATCCTCAAAAAATATTCATTGTACACACGGTATCACCTGTTATCCCTCTGTTTGTTGGTGGTTAACAGCAAGGCCAAAGGACATATTTTGTTTAAACTTACAAGGAAATAATGAATTAATTGTTTTGTTACTATTGCTCTATTTATTCATTCAGTGATTGAAATCCTATTGCTTATCAGCAGAGAAATTATAACTTCCATTCCTACATGGCAAAGAAAAAGCCCTCACCAAAATGCTTGGGGACATGCACATACCCACCAAGTCAATGTGCAGGCCCTCCCCTGGAGAATCTTGATGGGGGTTATTTACTTTCCAGTTAGGAACAGACTGAAAGTTAGCATTTTTCTTACATAAGCGACAGGATTTCAGTTATCCTGCTATTGCTAGTTGCTGTATGATTATTTTATTGCTACTTCTCTAAATATGTTATTGGTACTTGCATTGTGATTATGTATTTTTATTGATGCTTAATTACTTGTTATTGTCTAAAAAATGTTTCTTCAGTAGAAATGTATTATTATGGGGGTGGGTTGGTCTTGCTCCATTGCAACCTCCTTTGAGTAGAAAAAATAGTATGTAGAAAGGCAGCATTCCAATAAAGTGAGTTATTTCTGTTACAATAAATACCGGATTTTTCGCTCCATAAGATGCGCTTCTCCATAAAATGCACTTCATTTTTAGGGGAGGAAAACAGGAAAAAATTATTCTGGCAATTTCAGCCCACTGGGCCCGCAGAGGTGGGGGAGCCTTGGAAGGGTCTGAGGGTGCCTTCCAAGGACCCTTCAGAGGCTTCCCCCACCCCACAGGGCCAGAGGGGATGAAATCGGCAGCTTCCAGGACCCTTCAGAGGCTTTCCAAAAGCCTTCTGAGGCTTTCCAAAAGGTCGCGATTTTGTCCCCGCTGGCCCCATGGGAGTGGGGGGAGCCTCCAAAGGGTCCTGGAATGCACTCTCGGACCCTTTGGAGGCTCCCCCTGCGTGGCGAGTGGCGGCGAAATCGTGACCTTCCAGGACCCTTCTGAGGCTTTCCAAGGTCACGATTTCAACCCCATGGGAGGTGGGGGAAGCCTCCAAAGGGTCCTGGAAGGCACTCTCGGACCCTTTGGAAGCTCCCCCTGATTCCTATGGGAAAACTCACCTTGCAAGACAAAAATTTCGCAAGAAATTTTGGAGTGAATTATTTTCATCTTGCAAGGCACCACTGTTTATAGATATATATATAGTATACCTAAAACTCCATCACACTCTACACCATTACTCCTTACGAGGGTTCCAAATGGTGTATTGTATTTAAAGGCTATTTTCTCCTTGACAGTAGACCCCACTGCACTTAAATGAAAGCTAGTCTTTGTTGATGAGGAGGAGCACTGCCCCTCTCCAAAAAGTCTGAGAAAACTATGTATATTGAATATTCTTTTAACTCCCCGTAAATTACCATAGTCCTAAATTTGCTGCAGTGGTCTTTGCTAGCAAAAATGTTTAACAGTTATTTGCACATCTTGCATATGAATACCTGCAAGGGAGCATTTGTGCACATACTTCAAGGAGTTGGAAACTACTAAAAATAAACTTTTCTGCTATCAATTTCTTTGTAGGTGACGAGAATGCATTGACATGACAGAATTGTTATCTAATAAAATACATATAGCATTTACAATTTAT